TTTAATTGGCTAGCTACATGAGGGCACAGCGCGGAGTCTAGCTTCTCGTGTAAATTTAGGGCTTAAATTTAGCAGAGTACGGTTGAGATGTTTCTCAGTTTTTGAGTGAAATAGTAATTCCTGCCGGAGTCCCAAATAAGACAAAATTCGATATTTTATTTTATGACTTACCATTAATTTAATAATTCATTATTTTCCTTTATTTCTTTACATTTTGTTTTATTTAAATTTTAATTCTTAATTACTTTGTTATTTTAATTATTAGTCCAAAGGGGCTTTGTCGCTGAGGAATGAATCACTCTGAATGTCAGTTTCACTTTTCAAACTGTTGCCACCAAATATTAGTGCTTTGTATTATATTTGAAGAAATTAAAGAATGGAGAATCTGCATTAATATATGTATGTTTCTCGCAAACAACGGTACCTAGAGCTATCAAATTTTGAATGACATAATCCTACTGCGAATATGGGCATCTGTAAGCCCAAATTTGAAACTTGGAATTTGTTTTAATATCGATTTCATAGTTTGTAAAACTATGAAATCGATATTAAACGAATTATTAATTAATGATTAACGAATTAATTAAACGAATTATTAATTAATTATTAATTTACTATGAAACGATATTAAACGAATTTTTAATTAACAAACTCAAGGATTTCAAAGCCGACAATGGCAATGTTAAACAGAAAAAAAAAAAAATTTTTATCTCCTGCGCGTGAGACTGTGTATCGGAAATTCTAAACATATGCTCAATTTAAAATTATTTTGCCATATTGCTCTTGAACTGAATTTTATGGTTCAAGGGCGAAGAACATGGTATTTAATAAATAAAGGTAACACAAATGTTAAAAAAACGCCCCTTTAGACGTAAACCTTTCACATAACCTGACTTAAATCTGGACGTAACCTGAAACCTTTCAGATTTGGACATAAACCTGAAACGTTTCAGATTTTTTTTTAATTTTGCATTGTAAAATCAATTATTAGTCCAAAGGGACTTTGTCCTTGAAGGGCTATTGTTTTCGTTTTGCTATTTTGCGTCCGAACCCTATAAACGGCATATTACTTTTCAAATCGTTGCACCAAATATTATCGCCATGTATTATATTTGAAGAAATTAAATAATGAAGAATCTGCATAAATGTATGTATGTTTCTCGCATTGTGATAAAAAAAAAGGTACCTAGAGCCATCAAATTTTGAATAACGTAATCTTTCACCGAAACTCAAGGATTTCAAAGCGGGCAATGGCAATGTTGTACAGAAAAAACATTTTTATCTCCAGCGCGTGAGACTGTGTATCGGAAATTCTAAAGATATGCACATTTAAAATTATTTTGCGACATTGCTGTTGAACTTAATTTTATGGTTTAAGTGAGAATAACATATTTAATAAATAAAGGTAACACACAAAACGTTAAAAAAACGCCCCTTTGCACGTAATTTAAAATCTGAAACGTTTCAGATTTTTTTTATTAGTTACTTTATTTCTTTGTTTTGTTCCTCTTTCTTAACGGCCTTCCATAGGGATCCGAAGCTTTTAATTTTAGAAATTAAACCCTGACAGAGTTACATGTAAAGAGTCTGACTTTTCCGATAAAAAGGAACGGGCCAAGAAAGTTTTTTAGCTAAAATGCTGAAACTAGTCCTACAACGAGGGTTGTCCGCATTCACTCTGTGTACTTCCATGGTCGAAACCACTGACCAATGTTAAGGAACTCGAGAACGCACAACGCTTTTCTCTGAGGTGCTGTCATTCTGGGCATAGTACCCGCCGCTTATTAAACTCACTGGTTAGTAAATTCAGTCGCTTATGGCTTTCGGATTTCCAGGAACCAAAACAAATACATGTTATCAATAGAAAAATCGCCTTTTATTAAATTCATAGCCACCACGTTTTAAACTCAGATTGGCGAAAGACTAATTCTTTAGTGCCAGAATATCTTATCCGTGTCCATCAAAGCATTTCTCCTATCCCCTGTCCCTGTACCTAAAAGTGTAGAAGTGGTGTTAGCACAGGAGGACTCGGACTCAAGGTCGAAACTGATTGATTATTACGAAATATTTTAAGGTTCGATTAATTGCTGATGATAAGGATTTACTTGAGGATTAAATGAAATATGAGGATATTGTCCCGCGCGTAAAATTTAAAGATGTTGGTTAGCCATGATATGAGGTTGCTGCTAAAAGTTCTTTAAACAGACATCAAAGCAGATAATTACATAAGCAAGGTGAAACAATTTTAAGCAAAATTTACAATATATTGATACAGAAGCAACAGAAAAAATATTTTTTAAAGTTACAACATTTATATGGTGCAGAAAACAAAATACAGAAACGTAACGCATTATTTATAAATTATTACTTGAGATGGCCATTGACCACTTCACATAGTTACGAGAATTGTACATCATAATTGTAGATAGGAATAATGTTGTTATTTGATTTCCTAATATTTAAATGGAAACTGTGTGCCAGGTGGGGAAAGTAGACACGAAATTGTGCTATGCCCAATTCGTGAAATACATTGTCCTTATAAACGATGGGCAGCAAACGATTTGTCTGAGGATGCAATTCTATACAGTCCGAAGTTACTTCTGCAAGCATATGCCCAAACAGGGCAGGCATAAGGGAGCATAGGAAGCATAGAATAGTTCTGTAAATGTTTAAATTGTAGTCTGGAAAGAAAATACCCTTCCAGGCAATTAAGAAAAAAAGTTTAGAAAAGTTTTCTGGACAATAGATTGTATGTGTGAGGACTATGCGAGATTTTTGTCGAGGACTACATCGAGATGGGTGACACGACTAATTCAGGGTAGGGAAGAATCATGTAGTTTTATATTTCAATCAGTCTTCCTTTTCCTTGTGAAGAGAACAACCTTAGATTTACCTACAGTGGTTTCCATTTTCTATCTAATTAGCCAGGTCTCAAGTGCCTGGATGTGGTTTTGTAACGCTTATAATGCTAGACAAAGAAAAGTATTTTGTGAGAGGGTAAAAAAAAAATTGAGAGGGTTCTTCAAAATCTTTGTGAGAGGGTTCTTCAAAATCGTGGTGTTGACTTATCTGAAATGACGTTCACATACAAATTGAAAAGGGTAGCTCCCAAAAATCGATAAACACGATGACGATATGAGACACAATTTTCAGAGTTCCTTGTCAGCAGTGGATTTCAGAGGGTCAGAATTTCCTTATTTTAAAGGTTAACAAAAGCAACCTTCTAGAGACTTTTCAAATGACTGTGGGTTCCTTCTCGAATACCAGCTGATAAGAGGTGGAAATGCAATTCTATAACCCACCTTTTAATGTTTCCACATTCAAAATCTTTTCTTTCGGATAGACACATTATATTCACACAGAGGTTTTCATGAAATGGCTTTAAGCTTTACCGTACATTAGTCTTAGAATGGAAAGGAAGTGGTAACTGTATAATGAAAAAGCATACGAAACATTGGTCATGCTTGTAATCATGGAAAGGCAGATCAACTAAACAGATAAAGGGTAATCTTTCTGCTGGCTAGAAACGTAAACTTTGAAATTTGAATAAATCATTGAAAGAATCCTTCTTTACAGTTTGCTGTGTATGTAACTTGTCGAAAGGCCAAGCGAAACGGCTTAAGCCTGAAAAATTGAGGTACTTGTGATCCCTGAAAGCACAAACTGTTAAAAGATTAATCTTCTTGATAACTGCAGCCAAAGATTATCTATATTTCTGAATTGGAAATTTTTCAAACAGCGTTTTGCAATTTACTTAAACAAGGAATTATAATTGAGGGAAAACTAACAAAAATGCAAAATGTATCAAGGAAGTCCAACAGATACGTAAACTCAAGAAGCGATAAAATATTTCTCAAAATAAGAATTTAACAGTCGGCTCCTTTCTCAGAGCGTACAGAAAAGCCTCCACTTGGGCTTGAACTCAAAAGTAATAAGAAATAAAACTTTGTTAACCTTGAAATAAGGAAATTCTGCCCCTCTGAAATCCACTGCGGACAAGGAACTCGGAAAATTGTGTCTCATATCGTCATCGTGTTTATCGCTTTTGGAAACTACCCTTTTCAATTTGTATGTGAACGTCATTTCAATGCTTAGCTAAAATGATATATCCGCAGCTATCAAAATTCTTAGTTGGCCCCTAAATATCTACTAGACTGGCGAAGTTATCAAGGGCCTGAAATACGGCCGAGCGTAGTAATAGTTTAGAGAGACTGAAGCCAAATGGCAAACGCGCTCTAGTCAGAATCTCTGGCTCTCTAAAACGAAGTTAGTGGAACTTCGACTTAATTTTTAGTTATTATTTAATAATAATTTTTAGTTATTATTTTAAGATTAATTAATGAGTTAATTGTGAGTTATAATTTTACTTGAAAAGTGTAAAACTGATATCACTGTTTGCAACACACAAATCGCTGTCTATTAAACTCAGCCGCTCAATAAACTCAAATAGGTGAAGTGATTTTAATAAGCGGTGGGTATTGTACATAAGAAGCACCTCAGTGCTGAGGGAGGGCGACGCATCGAGATCACGACAAAGCGCCCTTCTAGCAACTCAGCTTAAAAACCCATTTTCTCAAACAGTTAGTGACTTGAGTTACAGATTTTTTTCAATGATCAGTAGCCGCGAAAACACCTGAAGACTATGAAATAGATTAGTTCGCTTCTTTTAACGATCCTGTATTTGGCTTTATTAATAATAGTTTTTTGAAAATGTTCTTTTACTGGATGCTTCAGTTGTTTCCTTCATTATTATTTAAATATGTTTACGTTGCATATTTAAGTGACGTACTTTTAACAAAATGACGCAGAACGCTCTTTTTTGAAAAAGAGAAATTTATGCCATATTTATGCCTATAAATGTACAGGGCCTTTCTGTGAAACTAGCGCAAGTGGCTAAATTGTGCCTAATTTTGAAAGCATATGTGAGGACTAGCTTACATTTTGTATATCAGATTTCCTAAAATTTTCGTGTTTCGTTAATGACATATTTTTTTTTTTAGGTATGTTCCTGAAGGCGCTATGACAGGATGCACTGTGGATTACTTAAGCACAGAGCCTAATCCCATGTCTTATCTTATTCTATACGCCCTTGCAGTGTATTTCGCACCTCTAACTATCATGATCTTTTGCTACAGTTCTATAGTGTATCAAGTAGCTTCACATGAGAAACAACTCAGAGACCAGGCTAAAAAAATGAACATTGCATCTTTACGAGCTAACACCGACAACCAGAAAAAAAGTGCTGAATTCAGACTAGCCAAGGTAAAGTCTGAAATTAATTTTAATTCTTAAAGGGTATAAAATCTAACATAAGTTCTAATACTATACTTCTATTTTAAAGCCGAAAATAAATCATAAATCAACTACATTATTATATTAGAAACATTTTTGCGTTGTTTTGCTGAGAAAAATTCTAACAAAGAATTCTTAACTCAGCATCAGTTTTGCATGAAAAACGTCCAACTCATTCATGCAGAATTCAACTTTGTAACTCTTAATTAATATTCATGATAAAAACAGTCGGGGAAAAAAACATCTATTCCTTCCATCAAAGGTTATTGGTTATACCAAACAGTCCACAATACAGATCGGCCAACGGAAAAGATGATTTGTAAAAACACTACATAAGATTATTTTCAAGTTCTTGAAAATTCTTAATATTCAAATATGAATATTTTTGGACTCTCAGTAGACCCCGTGTTACGTTTAACCTAAGGCCCAACAAATCATTCATTGCACCCAAGATACAAATAAAAAAATCGACATTCATTTCTCACCAACACCGATAAAGTGGTTGTATTATAAAAGCACACGCTAAGAAGGCTAATAAGTTTTCTCTCAAAAACATGATTTCTGCCATGATCTTCTAACAATACATCAACTATACAGAATGGCAGATTTCATTTCTGCTAGGTAGCAAAAGAATAGGCAATTTTTCCTACGTAGCAAAAGAAAGAGAGAAAAGGAACTCAAGAATTTGAACATATCTAGATAAAAGTAATTTTTATTAATTCACTTCCATGACTATTCGGCAGGTCATTACATTCATGTTAAAACTGCATCTTTCCAGTGGACGTTTTGCCTTATGAACGCATATTTCTATTGAAGTATAATGATCATTGTTCTAACTCACTTCTAAAGCCAAATTATTTAATATTTCTGTAAATGATATTCTTATTCAACAATTTTTTGGCATTTATAACAAACACGATTAGACTCATAAATATCATTCCTGATTTTTCACCTTGATTTGGTTTGTACTTGAACAAAATCGGTTTAAAATTTACCACTTTAGATTTCTATTTATTTTCTGATACTTATACTATGGTCTTTGGTGTATTTAATTATGGCAAAGCACACTAGGGCTATCTGCCTAAGAGGAGGGATGCCTTTGTGGAGGATTTCTAAGGGAAACTGGCTCGTATACACGTTACACATGGGGAAAACCACGAAAACGCCCATGCAGCCAGCCCGTTCGTGGGATTCGAACCTCGGACCGAACTACCAGTGTTCAGCGACTTTACCGCTCGACCGCTGGTGAGCCCCTTATACTATGGAAGAATGAATATAATTTGGTCAATAAATGAAATTATATAAATAATCCCAAAATACCGCCTTAATAATCAAGCACCGTATGTTTAATCATGTATGCTACATATTAATGCATACTACTTATTTAGTTCACTCACATTAGTTTTCGAGTTCAAATTTAATATAAACCTTTATTTACAACTAAATAAAAACTAAATATAAACCTTTATTTAGTTCACTCACATTAGTTTTCGAGTTCAAATTTTGTACACATACTATTGGTCCATGGTAATGCTATGTAATGATTTTTTTAATTTAATGTTTAAACGATTTTTAGTGCATATCTTCGCTTCACAACGAACTAAGGAAACCAGAATTTTATTGTTTGCAACGTCGAATACAGTGGGAAAAATCGATGAAAATTACATGAAAATTGTAACTTAATTTTTGAATTTTTGGCGAATTTTTGAAAAATGCTCAAATTGTTTAGACTATTTGGCGTTTTGAAATTTTTAAAATTTCAACATCTAAAAATGTATCGGATATAAAGTTTTAAAATTTTCAAACTATAAAAAAAACTTCACAGAAAAATTGCTTTTGAGTTTACCATCTTGGTTAATGAAGTTTTCCCATCTTATTGCCCTTAATGACGAACTGGCGATAATCGTTTTCTAATTGTAGCTTTAAGTATACTCATGTCCATAAATTAAGGATAATTCGGAGTCATGCGGAAATCGAATTCTAAAATAAATATATCACCTGTAAAATCACTAAACACATCTTCAAGAATCATATGCAAATTTCAGGAAGTAACCAGATGACACCGATGGTACGTCACAATGAGAGAGTGTAAGAGAGTGATATATAAGGAATACAGGCAAAGAAGTAAAATTGTTCGCAGGTGCTTTATAAGCATTTTAGTGCAATAACCGAATAGTTATGACACAAATGACGCATTTGGATGATTTTTTACGTGGTAGAATCATCGGCCGTCTGGAATGTGGGCGTACCCAATTGGAAGTATCAGACAAACTTGGAATTGCCCAGAGTGTCATCTCCAGCAGGCTTTGGCAACGATTCCAAGATGATGGTAATGTGAGTAGACGTTACAGCACAGGCCGCCCCAGAGTTACAACGTCGAATGAGGACTGATATTTGGCTGTTACTGTCAAAAGAAACAAACGGAGCACAGCCTCAGACCTGTCTCGTCAGCTCTCTTCAGCCACTAGTACGACAATTTCAAGGCAGACCGTGTACAGACGCTTAGGGCAAATTGGTCTATATGCTCGTAGACCTGTCAGATGCGTTCCACTTACTGCAACTCACTGTCGCCTGCGGTTAGCCTGGAGTAGAGAGCATGCATTGTGGACACCGCAACAGTGGGCTTGTGTGATGTTTTCCGACGAGTCCAGTTTAGCTTGCAGTCTGATTGTCACCGGACTTTCATATGGAGAGCTCCAGGTACCCGTTACCACCAAGAAAACATCATTGAACAACACCATTACGGTGGTGCAGGAGTGCTCGTTTGGGGTGGAATTATTCTGGTTTCCAGAACTGACCTGCATGTTCAAGTTGGAACCATGACAAGCCAAATCTATCGGGACGTCATTCTGGAACAACGTGTACGTTTGTTTCGGGACGCCATGGGCGCACAATTTGTGTTTATGGATGACAACGCCCGTCCTCACCGTGCAAACATCGTAAGCGAATGCCTTCAATCGGAGGATATCACCCGTATGGACTGGCCAGCATTCTCACGGGACTTGAATCCAGTAGAGCACGTGTGGGACATGCTTGGCCGACGAGTTGCAGCCTGTCAACATCCTCTTACATGTCTACCGAAATTTCGGAGGGCATTGCTTTTTGAGTGGTGTAATATGCCCCAAGATCAGATCGATAATTTGATACTCAGCATGCCTAGGCGTTGTACGGACTGTATTGCATCGTCTGGGAGACATACAATGTATTAACAATCATACCAACTATGTAATATTGGTTTTTTGTAATTTGCTCCAGGGAGAAAAAATCGCTAATTTTTTTAATAATATCAAACATATAGCATCTTTTTTTTTTTTTTTTTTTTTTTTTTTTGCTATTTACCTTTTGTTTAATAAATAAGCTTTACAAATAAGTCAAATTTGTTTTGCTTCTAACTCTTCCTTTGCCTGATTTTGCATTATCCTTAATTTATGGACACGAGTGTAAAATAATAAGTTATATTATTATTACATTCAATTTCCAAAACTGGATATTCAAAGCGATTTCTTCATTCTGTGAATATCGTTCAGTTATTTTTCTTTATTTCGTCATTTTCTTTGTTTTAATAATGACTAAAAATTTCATCATTGTTAATATGCAATTGAGACTAAAACAGACAATAAAATACAATTAAAAAAGTTCTTATAGAATAAGCTTTTATTTAAAATGGATATGATAATTAATGCACTAAAAGAAGAAAAATAATTTATGTAGTTTAATAGGAATAACAGATTAAATTTCTATTTAGACAATTCATCTACAATTTTATATCGCAAATAATAAAAGCGTGGGGTAGCTAAATAACACAATCTATTACTTTAATTGCATAATCACATGTATAAGCCATTATCACTGCAAATTTTCTATTAATTGCATTGCCAAATGTTTACACTATTACCCTTAATTTACCATGGGCGCCCCACGTTTTTATTATTCGCGATATAAAATTGCAGATGTATAAAGAACTATTTAAATTATTATTCCAATTAAACTACATGATATAGTATTTTCTCCTTTTAGTGCATTAATTATCATATTCATTTTTAGTAAACTTATTTTTAATTTCATTTTTTTACGTATTAATGTGTGAAAAATAGTAGCCACTGATGTCTTACATTAACGATGAACACAGACAAAATTAACATTGAAATTACGCACACCTGACATATGTCTACCAAAAACAGTTTTCCCATTTTTATGTGAATAGTCACCGGATTTTTTTGAGAACTCGAATAAAAAAATAATTTGACATGAGACCACAAACAACAATTTACTGATGACCATCTCCCTAATCTGCAACATAAATACGTTTCCCAAAGAATATCTCTAATTTGAGCGAATATAAATATTTATTATTTTTGCACTAAATTAAACTTAATTATTTAATTATTTGTTTTCTACAGGTTGCCCTTATGACGGTAATCTTATGGTTTATTGCATGGACTCCGTATTTGACCTTATCATTTGCTGGAATATTCTCAGACAGAAAATACGTAACACCCATGACATCAATGTGGGGAGCTGTGTTTGCAAAAGGCAGCGCCTGCTATAACCCCATCGTGTATGGTATCAGTCACCCGAAGTACAAAGCTGCTTTGCAATCACGATTCAAATGCTTCGGCGGTGGAAAATCTGAAGATCCTAAATCGGATGTTTCCACAGTTTCAAGCGAAATGGACAAAAGTATTCCAGAGTAATATAGCTGTATACTGTTGAAAGGATTCTATACTTGTATCAAAATATACACATATGTCTAAAGCTTTCGGAAATAAAGCAAACCTAATACTAAATTTGTACAGTTAGTTTTCAATCTATTTTCTGGAAAAGCAATATCTATACAAATACTCATTAAATATTTAAGGATGTTAAAGGACATGAGTTCGTAAATAAATAATAATCTTAAACAAGTTTCTTTCAGCTTTCCGAAGAGAAAACAAAACAAAGAAATATTCCATAGACCAAAAACGACAAAGAAACAAACATCAATATTTCCCACAGAAAAAAAGCTACTTAACTTTCTCTTATGCAAAATATTACCTCAAAAAATAACAAATAACACATAAAACTTCAAATAACATATTAAAAGAACAAATGCTGTGATAAAACAAATGCTGTGATAAACACAAAACCTACATAAATTCACAAAACTGCATAATACTATATGCAAGTCAAAAATATTGTATGACTAAATATCTCTTGAAATATTAATAACAGATCTATGGTTCAAATTTAACAAATGAATCAAATAAGTTACCACAATATTGAAATTTCATACACTTTCTACAATTAAAAATTTTGTCAAATAATATGTTATCTCTGCTCATTAAGAATTCTTTAATTAAAATAAAATTCCCTAAAACGGGAGTTGAGGTTAAAATATAACTGCGAGAATTATATGTCCTAATAACATTTTCTACAGGAAGAAAAGAAATTGTATACTGCCAGTTTAAAGGCCCTATTAAATTTCAATAATTTGGTATATGAAAAAATAGAACTGTAGTTTAAGTTTTGCTACATATATAGGAATCTGAACTCATGCTTCGAGTTTTTTTAACATTAAAAGTATCAAGAGAGAACAGGCACCCAGCAAAGTAAAACGTAAAATTAGGCATAGAAACAATTTTGTATTTAGCATATTTAAAATTACCACTTTCAAGGGTGAACAGGTGTAGATCTTTCTTCACCAGGAATAAGGAAATTTGCCAAATAAAAGATTGTTACTTTGCCTAGTTTTATGTTTAAGAGTATTTTTTTAAAATTTGCATTCGTTTGTGATCATTCAGCTTTGAAGGCGCTCAAATCAGATGTTGCAACAAGCACATGGTGAAAGCATTTAAAAACAATCAGCATACTTTCAGTTGTTCAAATAACTTAACCGAGTGGCATGCCATTTTGATTATGTTCAGGATTATCTTTATTTAAATAGTTTCTATTAGTTAAATTTTTATAACTACTTATTTTATTCCGGTTTCCATAAATTTCCATTCATTAAGATGATATTTACATTATAAAAGAAAGTATAATCTAATATATACCAAATGATAAAAAATCTCATGACTTTGCAGTCATGCCATTCAATGGTTAAGGAAGATTATGTTTAGTCTTCAAAGCAAAATGATTCAGGTGTTCCTACTAATGGCAGCGAATAACTAACATAGCCATTCACAGTTTTTATGAAGATCGCCAAATGCTAGTGCACAGACTGGCAGAGAAGTTACATTTCTCATTAATAGTATATTCACCATTCTGCATGATTGTCTATATGTGATGGTTACCAAGACCTAACTCTTAGGCAGAAGAAAGTTTGTGGGGAAACTTCAGGGGTATGTGTGTGGAGAACTTCCGAGTCTGGTAGCAGAATATGGGGCAAGCATACTTAAAATTCATCAACATTGCGCATAACTGTTGGCTATATCATTACAATCTTAAAAGAAAAAAAAAAAAAAAAAAAAGAAAAGAAAAGAAAAGAAAAAATAAGCACTGGTTGGAAATCATCAAGTTCTCCTACCTTAAAAATAATTAAAGTTGGAAACAATAAACATAAAAAACAATTGAAGTCAGCCTGAAAAGAATAATTCTTTCTTTCTATGACTTCGCTTGAAATGATTTATCAAAATGCAGTGTTGAAAAGAAAGAAGTAGAGGGCGCTGCTTGGCAGTAGCGCAATGCATGTAAGTAGAAACGAAATGTCGTTTGATTAGGCAACATGATTTCTGTGAAGATAGTCCACCTAACAATAGGACAGTTGTAAATATGTAAATATAACGAATAATAAATAGCATTAGAAAAACTGAACCATCGGATGTTTTGTGTCCCTCTACGGGCCGCCATGGATAAATGCAGGTTCGTCACATGCAGTGCCTGAACATAACACTGTTACTGGCCAGTACTGTGTGAGAATTTTTAAGATCTAACCAAATATGCTTTATGAAAACAGCCTCAGTTGCATATATCTGATTGGTGCTTGTATCACAATAATAAATGCCATCATGTCTCCAGTTGTTCAGAATTTATCTTGAAAATGTCTGAATGTGTGCTGAATCCCAGACCTAGCTCCCTGAGACTATTTTTCTTTCTGTCATCAGAGGTTCAAAGACATCATTTCGTTTCATCAATGGCTGTTTTGAAGACATGTAAAAAATGAAATCAAGCACATACCAGAACTGACAAACACATTGGATCAAGCATATAGCAATCACTGGTGATTGTTTTGAAAAAGGATATAAAAATGGACTGTGCCTTATATACTTCAAGATTCACAAATTTCATTCTCACTTTTTTTTTTTTACTAGAATTTCTTTATCAACCAAACTAAAAGTTTAAATTTCACCCTACAGTAAAAAAGAAAAAAACAATTTTCACTGGCATATTATGACTGGTTTCAATTCTATTAAAACTATTCCCTGCTCCCCCCCCAAAAAAAACTTCTTCACTTGAATCAGATTTCTCTGAAGCTTTCCACATTCATGAAAGGCTAGCTACTATAATTACTGACCTAGCTTTGCCCAAAGCTTTCAAAATTGCAATATCTTGGTTTTAGTTTCCTTCTCATGCAATAACAAATGCCATAGTGTTTATTCATTAATGGCTTCTTTACTTGCTCATCTTTTTGTTTCACGACAGTTGCAAAACTTTCTCCTCCTGAATAAGAAATGTCAAAGGTAGATGCCATTAAAATCAATATCAATCTAAGCATATTTTTGGTCTAAATTTACATAATCATTATTATGTTATTAGACAGAATCTAGAATGTATAGGCCAGCATATGTTAAACACTCAGAATGTATATATAAAACCTCAAGTGATGAATATGATTTTTCATAAGTTTCAATTCAATTATGAGAGATATCAGAATAATTAGCCCTCACAAAGAAAACATTAAATGAGAAATCAAATGACCATGTTTAAAAGAAACATTTCCAAATTACTACAAATGAGTTAAGACAATTTTTAATTTTTTTTATATCTATAATTTCTTGCTAGTTAAAACTGTAATCCAATTTCAATTTTTTAATTGTTTGACAGAATTTTTCATATTAAAATACTTTCTCTAATAAAAAGTACCTGTTTAGCTTTATTACTGTCTTGTAGTTATTTCATGATTTTTGTCAATGAATTAGAAAGCTATCAACTAGACTGTAATACAGACAGGTTTCTAACAATTGTTAGGTTACATGAATTATGGCAAAGGGAACAAGGATAATCTGTCTAAGGCAGAGCTCGGCAACCTGTGGCTCGCGAGCACATGCTGCTTTTGGATGTAAAGCTGTGGCTCTTTAGTTCCATATGGAAATATTATTTATTTTATAAAAAAAAAAAAAAAAAAAATTTAAAAATCGTTCTGAATTTTGAAATGCTGCAAATTGTAATTTTTGATTCTTCCGACTCAAAAGGTTGCCAGCCCCTGGTCTAAGGGAAGAGATGCTTTGTGAAGGACTTTTTAGGAGAAATTGGAATGCATGGGAAAACCTGCAAAAACTCCCATGGAGCCAGTCCGTTTATAGGAATCTATACCCAAAGCAAATTATAAATGTTCAGTCATCTCGCTGTGCAACTACTAATTAATTGCTTTTTATAGAAAATGGTTGATTTCTACATAATGCTTAAAGAAATATGTAGAAATGCCCATGCAGTCAGCTCATGACTTCTGCTCTGGAAACTGAACACTGCTCACAACTGCCAGTGTTCCAATACTTGGCCTATTTGTTAAAATTAAGTACTGATTTATTTCACAGCTAAAAACTTTCTACAGATGAATCAGAGTTCATTTTAAGGCATTTATAATTTCGAAAAATATATAAAATTAAAACATTAAACATACTTCTACAATTAATTACATCAACCTGGCTTCAAAGTGTAAAAGTCATTTTCCTAATTTTTTGAAATGGACAATTTATGTAGCATGCAATATTCTTAGGATATATATGCTCCTCTACAGTGTCTTAATAAAAGGGTAGAGGTATAAACTTGACCTTTTCTTTTTAAATAACATTAGATACTCATAGACTCCAACCTTCAGCAAACCTTGTCAGTAGTCAACGCGCGAACGACATTTTTACAACTTTGAAAATGTGCGCGTAGTGTATGTTGTAATTAACCATTCATTAATTTTAAATTAATAATAATTGTAATCAATTTTATTACATTTAAAATCCATATACAATAAAACTGAATAATTAAAAAATATACTTGTAAATTATATGCACATTTAATTAGAAATTTTCTTTTAACTCCTCAAGCATCACTAATAAAAAGTACTTCAAATCACTACTAATCATAGAAAAAAATCAGAAGCTATAAATCATATCTTTATTCTGGATATGATTCTACAGGGAAATAAAATTTAAATAAACCAAGAATGATACATATAAGTATTAAACAAAATACGCATAATTTATGAATGCAAAGATTTATATGTAGCATGCTTAGCAAGCTTAAGTTCTGATTTTGAGAATGTTTTTTTATAACACAGTTCTTCATTTGCCTGCATATTTATTTTTTCAATCAAAACTGCTTCAAGAGTTTTAAGACCTAAATTTGGTCGAAATTCCGTCTGATTTTTTTTAACAATAGAAAAAATTCTTTCGCAAGCTGCATTTGAATGAGGGTATTATTTAAGACAGCAAGCATTACAGAAGGCAATACTTTGTATTTAATATACACCCATTCTATTTTTTAATTTGGCAATTTTCTCCCCATGCTATATCAATACGCAAATCTACAATTTCTTTCAAATCATCTACTTGATACATGGAAAATTCAATTTACTACTTGATTAAGATATTTTTCA